TCTAAATTTTAAATAAGTTATTTTATTTATATATAATATTTATTATATAATAAATTCTATAATATTAAATATTTTATTTGGAAATATTTCTAAATTTTAAATAAATTATGTTATATAATACAATTTAAATAATTAATGTAATTTAAATAATTATATTTAAACACTAAATAAATTCTATATGAATATTGAAATAACAATCACACTATTTTATGATTCATTTTTGACAAATATTATAATTTATAATATGAATTTCAACGTGCATTGAATTAATTTAATATAAAATAATAGTGTAATATGAAATAATTATGAAACTAATTTTTATTTTTATAAATTCAAACATAATTCACATTTACATAAATTAATTCAATTTATTATCATACATTGTGAATTTATTTAATTTCAAGTTATGTATGGTATTCATTATAATTATTTCAATAATTAATAAATTCATTTCTTCTTTGTTTTTGTTTAAATTTTGACTAAAACCACTTTCATATTTCTAGTCACATATATACATATATATATACGTATACTAATTAATTAAATTTATTATCATGGCATAATACCCTCTAACATAAATAGGATCATAATAATAAGTGTATAAGCTTATCTTTAAGAAGCTCATATACCAAAGTATCTCACGTTACGTGTGTTGCGTTCCAGTGGTAATGAGAGGGAAAGGAAAATAGAAAGATGAGGTTTGTAAGAGAGGGAGAAAAAGAAAAGAGAAGAAGAAAACGTGAAAGAAAAAAAGCTAAAGAGTGGGAGAAGAAAAATATTCGCGTGGGTGGTGGTGATCGTTCGATTTCTCTGATCGATCTATCGATTTGAGTTTATCATAAATGCTGGTAAAATCTTCTTTAAAAGCTCGAATTCATATAATGGAATTTTAATTATGATTAATGATATTATTAATTATAAATAAATTATAAACAATGTTCTCTTAGAATGAATGAAGAAGAATAAAATGAAAAATAAATGATGAGACTATTGAACGATAACTATTAATAGATTTGTAATCATTTTAAAATGTAAGGATAATGATAAATGAAATGATGATAATATAATGATTGTGTTAAAAGGATGTACATATATGGAATTGTTTTTTTTTTTTATTTTTTTTTTTTTATTTCTGTGACGAATTATACTTAATCATTCGATTACGTTTATGCATAAGAATTTTTACTATTTTTCTTGTTTTGATTATTTATTTACACAAAATCTACGTGGAAAATGTATTCTGTTAAAGTTAATTTATTTTGGTTTTTTTTTTTTTTTTTTGGAAAAAGAAAAATAAAAGAAAAATAATTTCGTGCACGAGTTATGATTAGTATGATAAAAAAGAAACACACACATCACATCAAGGTTGTTATAGAAATTAACTCAATTAATGTGTGTTAAAACGTTAATTAAAATGATTATTATCAACAACAATAATTTAAATGAAATTAATTGTACAAATTTATTCGGAGATTTAATTTTTCAATGATTTAAAATTAAAGTAAAATATTCAATGAATTATATCAATTGAATAAAAAATGAAACAAACTATGAAATGAATTGTACAAAATATTCGGAGATTTAAATTCAACATTTTAAATGAAATTAAAACATGAAATGAATTACAGAAATCATTTAGAAATTTAAACTCAAAAATTTATATGAAATTAATTTATACAGAAATGAAACAAACTATGAACACTATAAATTAAACACAGATATTAAATAAAAAAAAAAAAACATGAACCACGAGTCTTCTTAAATAATGACCAAAAAAAAGAGAAATGTAAATGAATAAAAAAAAATAATAAAAAATGATTGGTCTGGGTCCAAAGTAAAAAAAAAAAAAAAAAGAAAACGAGCTTTTCATAGAAAATTTTCCAGCAAATCTCGCATGCTCAAAAACATCATCATCCACCACCTACCATGAGACTCGATGAACATAGCCCAGCAACCCCAAAAAGCAGTTTGAGTGTTGCTGGATTTTTGTTCTTCGAGTACGTCAACAATCTCTTCAACAATTTCCACACCCCTTTCTTCCTCCTCCTCCTCCTCCTCCTCATTCTCCATTTCCACCCTTACCACCACCTCCTCATCTTCCTCTACGACAACAACCATTTGATTTTGTTCCTCATTATTCATTTCCTCATCTTGTTCCTCATTCACCACCACCATCAAATCATTCAGCACAATTTGATTTTGTTCTAAATCATTTGCAACACTTTTATTATTCCCGCAAAGTGTATAAAACGTATCGGTTGAGTATCCGTTTCCGTTCTGACCTTTGAACTTGCTAAGACTCTCCTCGTAGCCATGTTGAGACCTTTGTTCACGGTGATGCTCGGCAACTGTGTCAGCTGGGTCAAAACCCAACCTTTCCTTGTAGTAAGCTTGAGTAGACATCTTGTTTTTTTATTTTTTTTTTTTTATTTTATCATTCACTTTCCCAGCCCCCCCCCCTTTGGACACCACTCCAACACTTTTTAGATTTTTCTTGGATTTTTTTTATGGTTTTTTATTTTTTTGATTAAAAAAAAAAAACCACCCGTTAAGTGGGCATCTTTGAACACCGTGAATTTTTTCCACCACTTGGTTGTTTTGTTAATTTTTTATTTTTTTTTGTTTTGTTTTGTTTGTTTAGTTTGTTTGTAGACACACTTTTTAACACTTTGTGATTATATGCACTTTTGGGTTTAAAATGTTTGATGGGTTTGTTTGTTTGGATTTTGTTCTTTTTTGTTTGTTTGTGTGTTTTTTTAGGTTTATCAGATTTTGATTTTATTTATTTATTTTTTTTTTATTAAAATCTTCTCGTTCGATTATGTTCGTTCGTTCGATCGAAGGACACCACCGTCTAAAATTTTATGAAAGTAAGGATTTTTGTTTGATTTTAATTTAATATTGTTAAAGTTTAAACTTTTAATTATGATTAATACCAATCGTTTATCATCTCTCTTTTGATTACTTTAATTTAAAACAAAAACAAAATAAAAATATGTATATGTGTTCTGAAACTATAATTTAAAGAATGGGTTGGGTTATAAGTTTCTATCAAATGTAAGCCAATTTTAAAAACAAGGCCACGTGCAAGGAACGAAGGGCGAAGGACTGCACCCTAATCTCACCCTACCCTACTCTACCCTACCCTGGTTTTACAAACCGATCGATAATTCTTCCTTTAAAATTTAAAGATATGCACGTAAGATAAAAAAAAAGTCATGGTCAGTGGATCACAATGAAAAAAAAAAAAAAAATTGAAAATTAAAACCATGAGAAATTTCGTGTGAGAGATGTAGTTTGAATTAAATTAAATGAAGTTAACGATTCGAAATAATTTTAACAAGTATAATATTAGCGAATTACTTATGTGAAGAATAAATTTAATTAAAAAAAAATAAAAAAATTAATAAAATTGTAAATAATAATCATTACCGATCTTTAATCTCAAAAATTTGAATTAAATTAAAAATAAATTAAATATCAATTAAACTAACTATTCTAAATATTTTACAACGAATATTATATTAAAATAGTAACCTGTTTGAATAACAAATTTAATTTAAAAATAAAAAACAAATCCCCCAAAAAATTATAAATAAAAATTGTTACCGATCTTCAATCTCAGAAATTTGAATTAAATTAAATATAAATTAAATTAACAATCCAAAATAATTTCAACAAACATTATATTAAAATAATCACCTCTATGAATAACAAATTTAATTTGAAAATAAAAAACAAATTCCCAACAAAATTATAAATAAAAATCGTTACCGATCATCGATCAACAGTTCAAATCAAATTAAATAAAAATTAAATATAAAATCCCAAAAATTTCAACGAGTACAATACAATAATCACCTGTATAAATAACAAAATTAATTTCAAAAAAAAAAATCCCTATGCCAACAAAATTATAAATAAAAATCGTTACCGATCATCGATCAACAGTTCAAATCAAATTAAATCAAAAATCTCAAATAATTTCAACGACTACAACACAATAATCACCTGTATAAATAACAAAATTAATTTCAAAAAAAAAAAAAGAAAAAAACCAAATGCCAACAAAATTATAAATAAAAATCGTTACCGATCATCGATCAACAGTTCAAATAAAATTAAATAAAAAATCTCAAATAATTTCAACGACTACAACACAATAATCACCTGTATAAATAACAAACCTAATTTCAAACAAAAAAAAATCCCCCAAAAACTATAAATAAAAATCGTAATCGATCAACGATCAATTTCCGATTTATCGAAATGAAATAAAACGAGATAAGCTCGTGTTAAGTAAATAAACGAAACACAAAATTTAATGATGAAGAAAAAAGAAAAAAAGAAATGAAGAAACAAACTGTTAAGTATAAAAACACACAGGACGATCCGTACTAGAGACGCGTGTACACGAGACTGAAGTAAGTTTTGAACAACCGATCTTGTGGGATCGGTAGTTGTTGTTACCCACCAACCAAAGTGAACTAAGCGTGTGCGCTCACGCTCACGCGCATATGTTGTATCCCCCCATATGGTAATCGTGAATCGACATACAAACACATACACATACGACACTGGTTTTAAACAAGTATTACGTGGGTGTCGTGTCCTTTGAAAACGACCCACGGTAATCGATTCCTATCACAGTAATATCGATTCCCAATATTAAAAAATTACATTTCAATCTTTCCTATATAAGTCATCAAATGTCCCTAGACAAAATTACTAAATTAATATTCAATTTCTATATATCTATCCTATATATTTCATTTCTATTTCTTTTGATCATCGATCAAATCTCTATCATTGGATAATATTTTATTGAAAAATTCATTAGACACCTTTTTTTTTTTTTAATTACTGTATTTTTTTTTCTTCTAGAAAATTATATCACTAGGTGCAGTGTTGTGAAATTTCTAACCAATTATTTGACACAGTGAACACATTGAATGTTGTTGAACTTTGAAATGAATTTAAATAAATAATAGAAAAATTTAAAGAAAAATTTAGTGACAAAAAAGAATAATAATTATATTAATTATAAAAAAAATATATATATATATATATAATTATAAACGAATTATTTGACACAATGAATACACTGAACGTGTGTTCGAACTTTGTTGAACTTTGAAATGAATTTAAATAAACAAAAAAAAAAAAATTGAAAGAAAAATTAATAGAAAAAAATAACAATTATATTGTACAATAAATTAAAAAATAAAATAAAATAAAATAAAATAAAATAAAATATAATTATATAATAAAGAAATAATTAATTGTAATTAAATTAAGATTTGATCCATTTTACGAGTTATGATCAACTTTAAAGGGTTTCAATATGAATATTCATATAAATAAATAAAAAAAAAATCTGTGTGATGTAAAAATGAACGTTGATCGACCTGTCGATCTCGTGAAACAACTTTAGTGGGCGAGATTATCGAGTATGAGTTACGTCACATTTGGTTCCGGACCGTAGAATATTCAACAACAACAACACACAACCACGACAAAGTGTTATACAGTGATTGATTCAACACATATGCCACCTGTTAAAACTTCCTACGTAAAACGAGAGTTGCTAAGGATAACTACTAACCATAAATAAGCTAGGTAAGTATTACTTTTGTAAAAAATAATAATAAAAAAAAAAAAAAAAAAAAAAAAA